ACTTTGTTCAAAAAAAAAAAAAAAAAAAGAGACATAAATGTAAAACCCCAAAGCATAAAAATTGTAGAAGAAGGCCGGGCGCGGTGGCTCAAGCCTGTAATCCCAGCACTTTGGGAGGCCGAGGCGGGTGGATCACGAGGTCAGGAGATCGAGACCATCCTGGCTAACATGGTGAAACCCCGTCTCTACTAAAAATACAAAAAACTAGCCGGGCGTGGTGGCGGACGCCTGTAGTCCCAGCTACTCGGAGGCTGAGGTAGGAGAATGGCGTGAACCTGGGAGGTGGAGCTTGCAGTGAGCCGAGATCGCGCCACTGCACTCCAGCCTGGGTGACACAGCACGAGACTCTGTCTCAAAAAAAAAAAAAAAAAATTGTAGAAGAAAACTTAGACAATACCATTCAGGACATAGGAGGCACGGGCAAAGACTTCATGACGAAAATACCAAAAGCAATTGCAATAAAAGCCAAAATTAACAAATGGGATCTAATTAAACTAAAGAGCTTCTGCACAGCAAAAGAAACTATCATTAGAGTGAACAGGCAACCTACAGAATGGGAGAAAATTTTTGCAATCTACCCATCTGACAAGGGTCTAATATCCAGAATCTACAAGAGACTTAAACAAATTTACAAGAAAAAAACAAACAACCCCATCAAAAAGTGGGCAAAGGATATGAACAGATACTTCTCAAAAAAAGACATTTATGAGGCCAACAAACTTGAAAAAAAGCTGAATATCACTGATCATTAGAGAAATGCAAATCCAAATCACAATGAGATACCATCTCATGCCAGTCAGATGGTGATTATTAAAAAGTCAAGAAACAATACATGTTGGCGAGGCTGTGGAGAAATAAGAATGCTTTTCCACTGTTGGTGGGAATGTAACCCATTTTAGAAGACAGTGTGGCGATTCCTCAAGGATCTAGAACTAGAAATACCATTTGGCCCAGCAATCCTATGACTGAGTCTATACCCAAAGGAATATAAATCATCCTACTAGAAAGACACATGCACATGTACATTTATTGCAACATTATTTACAATAGCAAGGATGTGGAACCAACCCAAATGCCCATCAATGATAGACTGGATAAAGAAAATGTGGTACATATACACCATGAAATACTATGCAGCCATAAGAGGGAATGATATCATGTCCTTAGGAGGGACATGGATGAAGCTAGAAGCCATCATCCTCAGCAAACTAACACAGGATCAGAAAACCAAACACTGCATGTTCTCACTCATAAATGGGAGCTGAACAATGAGAACACATGGACACAGGAAGGGGAACATCACACACTGGGGCCTGTTGGGGGCTATGGGGCAAAGGGAGTCAGAGCGTTAGGACAAACAGCTAACACACGTGGGGCTTAAAATCTAGATGATGGGTTGATAGGTGCAGCAAACCACCATGGCACACACATACCTATGTAAAAAACCTACACAGTCTGCACTTGTATCCCAGAACTTAAAATTTTTTAAAAAAAGAAAAAGAATTAGAGGTAAATTGTAAAATGTTAACAATAACAAATAAATAAAAAAATAAATTCTTGGAGTCTGCAGGGTGATTATCCTGCCCTCTAGGCGGTGTTTTGGGGTCTCTTCATAGAATAGAAAATATCATGAAGCAGTATACAAAGTAGTGCTACACTCTCTTCTGCAGTCTAAGCTCTGGGGCCTTCCTTCCCCCAGAAGAGGCATGCCTTGTTTTATTGCTCTGTGCTTTATTGTGCTTCACAGATACTGCATTAAAAAAAAAAAAAAATAATTGAAGGTTTGTGGCAACCTGGCATTGAGCAAATCTATTGGCACCATTTTTCCAACACTCTGTGCTCATTTTGTGTCTCCGTGTCACATTTTGGTGATTCTCCTATTATTTCACACTTTTTCATGATTATGTTATCTGTTGTGGTGATCTGTGATTAGAGATCTTAGATGTTACTGTTGTCATTGTTTTAGGGCATCACAAACCGTGCACACACAAGACAGCAAACTTGACAGATAAATGTGTGTGTTCTGACTGCTCCACTGACTAGCTGTTCCCCTTTCTCCCTCTCCTCAGGCCTCCCTATTCCCTGAGACACAACATTATTGAAATTAGGCCAATTAATCACCCTGTAAGGGCCTCTAAGTTCAAGTGAAAGGAAGGGACACATATTTCTCACTTTAAATCAAAAGCTGGAAATGATTAAGTTTAGTGAGGAAGGCACTTTAGAAAGCTAGGCCACTTGCACCAAATAGCCAAGTTGTGAAGTGAAAGAAAAAGTTATTGAAGGAAATTAAAAGCACTACTCCAGTGAATACACAAATGATAAAATGATGCTGAGTATCAGTCCTGGATGCAGCTGGAGGCCATCATCCTAAGCAAATTAAAGCAATAATGGAAAACCAAATACTGCTTGTTCTCACTTATAAATGGGAACTAAACATGAAGCACACATGGATATAAATATGGGAACAATAGACACCGTGGACTACTAGAGGGAGGAAGGGAAGGGACGGGGATATGGGTTGAAAAACTACCTATTGGCCACTATGCTCACTACCTGAGTGTTGGGATCCATAACCCAAACCTCAGCACCATGTAATATTCCCATGTAACAAACCTGCACATATACCCCCTGTATCTAAACTAAAAGTTGAAATTTTAAAAAAAGAAAATGAAACACCCTTATTGCTAATGTGGAGAGCATTTCAGTGATTTGGATAGAAGATCAGCCCAGCCACAACATTCCTTTCAGCCAAAGCTTAATCCAGAGCACAGACCCAACATTTTCTAATTCTATGAAGGCTGAGAGAGATGAAGGAACTGCAGAAGAAAAGTTGGAAACTAACAGAGGTCTGTGCATGAGATTTAAGGAAATAATCCTTCTTCATAGCATAAAGTGCAAGTTGAAGCAGCAAGTGCTGATGTAGAAGCTGTAGCAAGTTTTCCAGAAGATCTAGTTAAGATAATTGAAGGTGGCGACGCTAAAAAACTGCTTTTCAATGTAGATGAAACAGCCTTCTATTGGATGAGGATGCCATCTAGGACCTGCCTAGTCAGAGAGAAGTCAATGCTGAGCTTCAAAGCTTCAAAGGACAGGCTGACTCTTTTGTTAGGGGCTAATGCAGCTGGTAACTTTAAGTCGAATACAATGCTAATCTACCATTTTGAAAATCCTAGGGACCTTATGAATTATGCTAAACTTACTCTGCCAGTACTCTAGAAATAGAACAACAAAGCTGGGTAACAGCACGTCTGTTCATAGTATGATTTACTGAATATATTATGCTCACTGTTAAGACTTAATGCTCAGGAAAAAAATCGTTTTAAAATATTACTGCTCATTGACAATGAACCTAGTCACTTAAGAGCTCTGATGGAGAAACACAAGAAGATTAATGTTGTTTACATGTCTGATAACATGACACCCATTCTGTAGCCCATGGATCGAGAAGTAATTTCAACTTTCAAGTTTTATTATTTAAGAAATAAATTCATAAGGCTATAGCTATCTGCCACAGATAGTGATTTTTCTGATAGATCTGGGCAAAGTAAATTGAAAACCTTGTGGAAAGGATTCGCCATTGTAGATTCTATTACGAACATTCTTAGCCAGGCACTGTGGCTCATGCCTGTAACCCCAGCACTTTGGGAGGCCAAGGCAGGCAGATCACTTGAGGTCAGGAGTTCAAGACCAGCCTGGCCAACATGGTGAAATTCCCATCTCTACTAGAGGGAGGAAGGGAAGGGACGGGGATATGGAGTCAGGAGGCTGAGACAGGAGAATTCTTTGAATCTGGGAGGCAGAGGTTGCAGTGAGCTGAGATCGTGCCACTGCACTCCATCCTGGGCCACAGAGTGAGACTGTCTCTCAAAAAAAAAAAAAAAAAAAAAGAAAGAAAAAAGAAAGAACATTCTTGATTTATAGGAGGGGGTAAAAATTTAACATTAATAGGAGTTTGGAAGAGGTTGATTTCAACCCTCATGGATGATTTTGAGGGGTTCCTAACTTTGGTGGGGGAAGTAACTACAGATGTGGTGGAAATACCAAGAGAGCTAGAATTAAAAGTGAAGCGTAAAGATGTGACTGAATTGCTACAATCTCATGACCTAACTTGAATGTATGAGCAACTGCCTTTTACGTGTGAGCAAATAAAGTGTTTTCTTGAGATAGAATTTACTCCTGGTGAAGATGCTGTGGACACTGGTAAAATGACAACAAAGGATCTAGAACATTCTATATACTTAGTTGATAAAGCAGTAAGAGGACTTGAGAAGACTGTCTCCAACTTTGAAAGAAGTTCTACTATGGGCGAAATGCTATCAAACAGCATTGTGTGCTATAGAGAAATCTTTTGTGAAAGGAAGAGTCAATCAATGTGGCAAACTTCATTGTTGCCTTATATTAAGAAATTGCCACAGCCACCCACCTTCAGTAACCCCCACCTTGATCATTCTGCAGCCATTGACACTGAGGCAAGATCCTTAGCAAAAAGACCAACCAGCAAAAGATGCCAACTCCCTGAAGGTTCAGGTGATCATTAGCATATTTTAGCAATAAGGTATTTTTAAATTAAGGTATGTACATTGTTTTTTTAGACATGATACAATTGTACACTTAATATCCAATAATACAGTGTAAACATAACTTTTATATGCCCCAAGAAACAAACAAATTAGTATGACCTGCTTAATTGTGATATTCATTTTATTGCTGTAGTCTGGAACCAACCCCACAATGTCTCTGAGGTATGCCTGTGTAATGATGAGCATGAGTAGGGCCTGGCTGGGGTCTCCTCGCAGCCCTTCATACTCAGGACTTAGGACCTGGAATGCCCTGTGTGAGATCATCCGCACAGTGAAGATCTGCATGCTGTAGAGTTAAAACAGTGGCCGCTTTATTTTTGCTAGAATTTCTATTTCTCATTATTTTTCCTCTTGAAGTCAGTTCCAAATCCTCTGGCTTCAATAAAACAACTCTCTTCTAACATTTTCTTTACAGTGTGGAGCCACTGTTCATGCTCAATTAAAGATGATGACGAATAACGCAACCAACAGTAATTAGTGGCTTGAAAGAAAATGATGGCTGAAAAAACGGTAGGGAACTTCCCAGGAGTTTTATTTCTATTTTGACTAGCCTTATGAAAAAATGTAGCGGAAGCATCATCCACCTGGGATGTAATGAGTCTGGACAAATAGCAAGAATAGATGACAGTGGGGAATTCTGCAATAGTGAGGTAATGAGCTGAGATGCCCAGTGGTTTTTCATCCTATTTAATTTCAAAGGTTTAATTTTCATCATTACCAAATGGTGATTATTACATCCCCTCCTGAACACAGCATTGACCCAGATCCTACCCCCTAGAAGGATATTACGCAAGCATGCATTTTGAATTTCCCTTGGTTATATTCATAAAAAAAAAGTACGTGGCAAAATGCTCTTAATAGAGCATGATCTTGCTTCTCTGCCTTTGGCCTTGCTGTCTCCCGTGTTTGGAACACCCTGCCCTCTTCCACTTATGCTGCTCTTCAGATCCTTCCTCCTCAGGCCCCTGCCCTCCTGGAAGCCTTCATGAATCTTTCATCTCCCACAGAATTGTTTCTTCCTGAGTTCTCAAAGTACTTTTTATGATCCCACCCTCAGCAAATAATTAACATTTTCTTAAATTTAAAGAATATTTTTAAAAAGTCTTATATAATTTATGTACAATAAAATGTATGTATCTTGAGCGTACAGTATGATGAACTTTAAATGTAACATTCACTCAAATCAAGATCTAGAACATTTCCAGAAGGCTCCCTGAGCACTATTCTAGCCTCTAATGCCATAGACTAGCTTTGACTGGTTTTGATCTTCATATAAATCAGTGGCTCCCATCTGAAAGTGGTTTTATCCCCAAGAGTACATCTGGCAATGTCTGGAAACATTTTTAGTTTTCTAAATGGGCCTTGGGGTGGGGATACTATTGGCATCTGTTAGGTAGAGACCAGGGACGCTACTAACATCCTACAATGTACAGGAAGATGCCCCACACCAAAGGATTCTCTCACCCAGAATGTCAATAGAGCTGATGCTGAGAAACCCTCATATGGATAAAATCATAAAAAGTATGTACTCCTTTTTGTCTGACTTCTTTTATGCAATATTACCTTTGTGAGAATCATCTAACTTGCTGCATGTATCAGTAGTTCTTATTTATTGCTGTGTATTTTAGTATACAGCAAATGAGTACACAAAACCTTTATTTTTTCATTCTACTGTTGATAGATATCCCAAAGTCATTTTTTAATAAGGCATTTAAAGTAGCTATTTTATTGGTAAATATTTGTATACACTAGATTGAAGGAAGTTAGTATGGAAAAGTGGTTAAGAGGTCAGTTTGCATGCCAGACTATCTAGGTTCACTCCTTGGCTTCACTGTATTTTAGTTATAGGACCTCAGTGGCAAGGTACTTAACCTCCCTGGGCCTCAAGTCCCTAGTCAGTACAATGGAGATAATGAGATAATAGTACCTATTTATAGGGTTGTTAAGAGGATTAAATAAGTCACCATATTGAAAGTGCTTAGAATAGAGCTGAATTCGTTTTAAGTGTTGAAAAAAAAATTGGGCTATGTGCCTACCTAGTTCACTGAGCTTAGTTACTGGTCAAAAATATTTTTTGTAATAAAAAATTACTGGTAAGATAGGGAAAAAATAATTTTTGGGCATTTTTCAAGGCTTCAAAAGGCACTGGTGTTTAGCAAAGGGTCTCTAAGGAACTATGTCCATCCCAATTTGGAGCTATCTCTGATAATAAAAATATCTGTAGACAAATTGTTGTATACATCTAAAAATAACACAATTTATGGACTTTAAAGAAATCTCTCTAATGAGAAGAAAAATTCAATGTCAGGATTTTACATCAATTTTAAACTAATCTAGAACTTTAGTCATGATTTTTAAGAAATCTCCAGGTTGAACCAAGGTGATTAAAAATAAATGTTCTAATTCTTCTTGATTATGAGAAATAACAGCACATGGCAGGGGGAAATGGCCCAAACTATTGTAGATATGTACTCAATGGTTTTGAAAAAAATTAGATTAAAAGAAACATAAACAATTTGTGTGGTTGAAATAGGAGTTTATTGGATGACATTATTATTACTATTATTTATTATTATTATTATTATTTTCAGAGATGGGTTCACTCTGTCACTCAGGCTGGAGTGCAGTGGTAGGATCAAATTCACTGCAACCTTGGACTCCTGGGCTTAAAGTGATCCTCCCGCTGCAGCCTTCCGAGTCGCTAGGACTACAGGTGTGTGCCACAATGCTTGACTAATACTGGATCACATTATTAAATCCACTTGAAGATTATTGTTAAAATAACTTTTTGCGCCAAGTATAATTTTTCAGTCCTCCTTTATGTGTTACCTATGTCCAAATACAAAGGAGATGCTTGGCCATATAACACACCTTTTTGGCTGAGCATATTGGTAGTAATTCTGTTAAATAAGACTATGTAAATGGTCAAACCTGGTTCTGAGAAACAATTCAATGTATGATTCAGATTGTTCGAATATAAAAGTTTTGCTTCATTATCATATGATGCTTGTGTGCCTGTTGGTAGTGGTCACTAGCCCTCATTGTCTAATTGTGGAAGGGATGTGAATGGCACTTGGTGGGAAAGATGAACTTAGTGCATATCATCTGGTGTATATAAATTGTGGAAGCAACTCCTGGCTATTCTCTGTTTAATTTTTCCCAGAGAAGAACTTCTTTATCATGGAAACTTGGGGATACGGCTTTTTTCACCTGTTAAGAAATAGGGGGCCAGGTATGGTGGCTCACATCTGTAATCCCAGCACTTTGGGAGGCTGAAGCGGGAGGATCACTTGAAGTCAGGAGTTCAAAACCAGCCTGGGCAACATGGCAAAACCCCATCTCTACTAAAAATATAAAAATTAGCTGGGTGTGGTGGCACATACCTGTAGTCCCAGCTACTTGAGAGGCTGAGGCAGGATAATTGCTTGAGCCTGGGAGATAGAGGCTGCAGTGCACTATGATCACACCACTGCACTCCAGCCTGGGTGACAAAGTGAGCCTCTGTCTCAAAATAAATAAAAATAATAATAATAAAATAATTAAGGGCAGTTTCTAAACTTTGTTGATTCAGTATTGTATTCATGGGTTGTGATAGCATTTTTGAGCAAAGCTAGAATCTTGATAACAAGTCTTTTCTGTAGGTGCCTGTATATATCACCAAGCTAGAGGGTAAGTACGCTTTTGCCCACGGGACTCAATGACAATGTTTAAATGATTCAGACATTTAGATACTGGGCTGTTGCTGCTGAGAGAGCCAAGTTGCTCTTTGGTGGGAGTACCTGACCTGGTGGAGTCAGGTTAATCCAACTGAGTGTTTCACAGAGGCCTCTGAGCACCGGGTGCGGCAGTGAGCCCCAGGTGTGTCCCTGACTGCAAAACTGTTGATGTGGTCTCTTTTTGGCTCACACAGTTCTTCCTCAATGAACAACTGTATAACAAGTCAAAAGACTTCTAAGAAACATGTAGATTATATTACAACCAGGTGTTCTTATGGAGGAACCACAATTTCTTATTTGGTACATGGAAAAAATTGGGGGGAGAGAGACTGTCTTATATGATCCCACTAGTGAAAAATTTTTTTTAAAGGAACATTCCCCAGTGTCACTGAATCAATGACAGAGGTAAATTGGGAAAAACTTGTGGGAGTCACTTGCTGTGGCTTTTGTGACGGGTTAGAGCAGAGCAGAAAGTTATTGCCTCCTGACATAGAGATTTGAAATACATTTTCTTCCCCCAGGTCATGGCGAGACTGTTAAAGACAGAACTGACAGTAAGCCACAGCACAGCCAAAGCTGAGGCCTCCTCCCAGCTGAGGTTTGATTAGGAGGACTGCCAGCAAATGTGACCGACTTTTATTTCACAGAAGAAAGAACAGAGCAACAATGAAGACACAGAAGGAAACAAGGTCAATGAGCTTTCCCTTAAAAAAAAAAAAAAAAAAAAAAGCCTGGTTTCAAGTAGACAACATCGTTAAAGATTTTAGTGTCAAATCCACACTGTAATTTACCCTGGAAGATTGAGGAAAAACAGTCATTGATTCATTTATTCTTTTTTCATATATGTCTACTGAGTGCTATTACCATGAAAGCCAAACTTATTTTGATTTGCTTGATGTGTATAAACATCGTGAATGTCAGGTTTTCCTGAGGAAAATCCTTAGCCTCCAGAGGATGGAAACCAGCAAGGTCTGCCCATACCCAGCCTGCAGACTCACTTATAAGGTGACGTCTTGCAATGAAGATACATCTCTGAGCAGGGTTCATCACTCTTACAGACATTTATGAGCCAGCAGGTCCAGTGTGCAGCTCTGAACTCCTCTCTTTCTCTTTTTCTCTCTCTCTCCCCCACATTAGGCACATTGACCAGCCTCTTGTATGGAAAAGGTCCTCTATGAAGCAAACGGTAGCTTCTTCCAGGAGTGTTTTCAGTCTTTTCTCCTGACTAGCCAATGGATCCTCTATGGGAAAGGGTGGGAAGAGGCAAACTTGGCCCGCTAGTGCAGCAATGGAGAGAGAGAGTTGATTTATCCAAGTCATTTAAGAGCACTGAGTCCTTGCACGTCACTCCCAGCCAGTTGTATGTCTCAAACACCGTACATTATACCAATCCCAATGAAGTTCTAACACTTCTTATGATAATAAAGTAACCCTCAGGTATTAATCCTTTTGAGGATTAGCTTATTCCCACATTCGTCATATCACACTTCTCACACTAAATTATTTCAAAATAAATCACCACAGATGTAACACAGACCTACTATATCCTAGGCATTGTTCTGGAGATTCATAAATGAATAAAGTCGCTGCTATCATGGGACTTACATAAAAGTTACATGTTAATTAATTGATATGTAACTTAAGGTTAGGTAGTGAGAAAAGCTATGAGGAAAAATGAAGTAGATAAGAGGACAGAGAGGAATGAGTGAGGGTGCTCTCTTGGATAGGGGTCAGGAAAGACCAATGTTGAGGGGTGCATTCAAGCAGGGTTTTTGGTGAAGAGAATCATGGATATCTGGGGGTGGAGTTTGCTCTTGAAGAGGAAACAGAAAATGCAAAGGCTGTGAGGTCTGGTGGCTCAGAATGTTTTAGGAACAAGAGAGCCCATCGGGCTAGACAAAGCACAGTGGACACATCAGGGCTGAATCTGGTAGATCTAGGAGACTGAATTCTAAGCTTTGAATCTTATTCAGAATGTAACTGGAGGCCTGGGAGGGCTTTGGACAGAAAAGGAAGACAGTCAGGGGTACCTGCTAAAAGTCCACAAGAAAGTGTCATTTCTTTACATGACTGTCCCAAGATTACATCTACTTTCTGGCAGACTTATCTATGAATAACTTTTGGTGATATATTCAGAGCCCAACTCCCAGTTATTCACAAAAATAGCATTTTTTGGAGATAGGGTACCATGGCATTTTTGAACTCTCATTTCATTTTTAGAAAAACCCTGTGAGCAAACCTACTTACATTTTATTGAGTTGCTACATGCTTGCAATTGGCTGGTTGGTTTATACATATTTTCCCTCATTTTCACAGCTACTTTGCAAGGTAAACCTCACCATTGCTGTTTGGTAAGTGAGAAAACAGAGGCCAAGAAAAGTTAAGTGACTTGGCCAAGGTGACACCATCAGTAAAGTGGAGCTGAAACTTTGACACAGGTTCGCCTCAGTCCAAACCTGGAGCCCTTCTTTACTTCAAGACAGGGCTTACACTATGAGTACTCACATTTAATAAAGAAATGAAGTGATTTACTCAACGTCCTCTGGCCGCTGCTCTTCCTACTTACAACTGTCCTAGGAAAGTCATCAGGCTCAAATAAACCTGTTTGGAAATGTTTTCTATCTCTTGTGATAGGACTAGGGCAAGAGTCTATTTTATATTGCTTTCAATGTTCTGGAGACATGATCATTTCTTCTGCTAAAGCTAATGCCATGAGTGTAACTTGTAGATGAGTAAGAGCTAGAATGAATGGATGCCTAGTGCTCCTTTAGTGCATTTCAAGTACAGACAAGGATGGCAAGGCATTGTAAACTATGCTGTTTAATTAATTTCCCATAGAATGTTGTCCTAGAGAGTCATGGAATGCAGAAGCTCAGTGGAAAACAAAACTCCACAAACATACGAAGGAGGGACAGGATTTGGTTTAGCTCAGTTTAATTTAGTTTAGCTATTTGTACCCACCATTCCATTCCAAATGGAATTTCCTTTACTGAAAGTTCATGAGAAGAGAGACCTTGTCTGTGCAGTGGATTTCATCTTTGGTGCTTGACCTGCCTTTGCTGCTATTGCATTAAATGCAGCACGTGCAGCTGCATAGACACCTTGGGAGAGCTCGGCAGCCCACAAAGCCCAAAAAATAAAGTTCGTGTTTCTTGTCACTTTTAGGATTTTTAATAGTGGCTTTATTCTTACTCCGCAGTCGCCTTTCTTGGCTGAATACTGACAGAATCCACTGTAGTTCCCCAGAAACCTAAATTAAAAAGTTACATTGGATGTGGAATCTTCATAGACTTCTGGGTAAGATGTGAAACAGTAGAACCATTTTGGAAATCTGTTTGGCAGTGTTTTAAATGGTGAATATACACAGACCATATGACCTAGCTATTCCTTTCACGGGTATTTAGTTAAGAGAAATGGAAACGTATGTCCCTCAACACAAATATTCATAGAAGCTTTACTGCCCCAAACTGGAAAAAACAGGCAAACAGATTAAAAGATTTCAGTACACTCATACGATAGAATACTACTCAGCAAATGAAACAGAATGAACCATTGATAAAACCACATGAATGAAATATAAATGTATTATGCTAAGCAAAAGAAGCCAAACACAAATGACTGCATTTATATGAAATTCTAGAAAATGCAGAGTAATGGATAGCAACAGAAAGCAGATCAGTGGTTGTCTAGTTGTGGAAACAGAGAGGGTATGGACTGCCCCGGGCTCAAGGGAACTTTCTTTTCTTCTTTTCTTTTCTTTTTTTTTTGAGACAGAGTCTTGCTGTGTCACTTAAGCTGAGGTGTAGTGATGTGATCTCGGCTCACTGCAGCCTCGTCTTCCTGGGCTCAAGTGATCCTCTCACCTCAGCTTCCCAAGTAGCTTGGACCACAAGCACACGCCACCATGCCCAAATAATATATATGTTTTATAGAGACAGAATTTTACCATGTTGCCTAGGCTGATCTCCTGGGCTCAAGTGATCCACCCACCTTGGCTTCCCCAAGTGGTGGAATTATAGGCGTGATCCACCACACCAGGTCAAGGCCAAGGGAACTTTCTGAGAGTGAAGGAAATATTCTAGATTTGATTGTTCTGGTAGATCTGGAGACACATACACATACACATACACACACACACACACACAACTTGATAAAATTTGTCCAATTGTACACTTAAAATGGATGAGGCTTATTATATCTAAATTATGTGTCAGGCTGTGCACAGTGGCTCACACCTGTAATCTCAGCACTTTGGAAGGCTGAGGTGGGCAGATCACCTGAGGTCAGGAGCTCAAGACCAGGCCGGCCAACATGATGAAACCCTGTTTCTAACAAAATACAAAAATTAGCCGGGTGTGGTGGCAGGTGCCTATAATGCCAGCTACTTACGAGGTTGAGGCATGAGAATCAGTTGAACCCAGGAGATGGAGGTTGCAGTGAGCCGAGATGGAGCCACTGTACTGCAGCCTGGAAGACTCTGTCTCAATGAGATTCTGTCTCAAAACAAACAAACAAAAAAAAAAAGTCAACAACATTGATTTTTTAAAAAGTTATGTTAAATACTTTCTTTGTGTTGCCTTGAATGTCTGAATCCCCCAGCTCCCTTTGTCCAGTAATTCATTGGTTCCTCTTTTTGCATCTGGAAGCTTCAAAATGGTATGATCAAGCTGATGTCTAGCTGCTTTCTTCCGATATTTTATCAGTAGAAGAGTGATGGAAAAATATGGGCAAAGGTCTGTATTCTGCTGATGGGTTGGCCTTTAAGAATGAATTCCATTTTAAGCATGGGTCCTAGCTTTATTCCTTCTGGCCCTTCAGCATCATATACAGATTTAAACAGATAGGGATGGAGATGACGAATGAACAGAGCAAGGAAAACATTTAAAATTGGATGAGCCATGAATCCTGCCATTCCATTCTATGAATGACTATTCTGGGAAAAGCCAGAAATGGGAGTGATGAAAACTGTTACCTAGGGTCTCCTGCAGTGAGCGTCTAGCTGCTTTAAAAGATTGTAACACTTTTAAAGATACGTAGCTTTCATATAACATATCTTCTTAAACACAAGCCTATTGCTTACCTGGTGCAATAATATTGAGGAAACACTATGTTTCCATGCTAGAAAATTTAAGGTAATTTATTCTATCTTTTATCAGAAGGAGCTGCAAACTTCTCAAAAAGAGAAATTTGGGTTCAATTCCAGAAAGGTAGCAGTGTGGGAGCCAGCCTCCAGGATGGCCCCAGTTGGGCTTGTCTCCTGGTGCTCCTGCTACTGAGTGGAGCTCCCACAGGACTTTTGTACAGAACCAGGTTGTTCTACCGACCAATAGAAAATGGCAGAAATGATGGTGTATGTGTGATTTGGGAGACTAAGTCACAGAAAACATGGCCACTTTCGTTTGATTTCTCTTAGATCAGTTGCTGTGAGGGAAGTTGACACTCAAGCATCCCATAGAAATGTTTATGTGTCAAGGAACTGAGGCCTCTTGCCAAGGACGGGCTCTAACTTGCTAGCTCAGGTAAGTCATCTTGGAAACAGATCTTCCAGCTCTTCGGGTATCAGGATAACTGCCATCTGGCTGCCATGTTAACAACAGCCTCGTGAAAAATTCCAAGCTAGAACCTCCCCACCGGCCCCCGCTGAATTTTTCCTGAATTCACGGCCCACAGAAACTGTGAGCTGATAAATGATTATTGACTTAAGCCATTACATTTTGGAGTAGTCTGTCATTTGGCAATGGATAACGAACACAATTAGAGTCCTGAGGACCCTTGGGGACTCTCTGCCAACCGACTACCCCCAACCCCCTTTTCAATTTTTGAGATGGAGTCTTGCTCTATTGCCCAGGCTTCGGTGCAGTGGCACAATCTCGACTCACTGCAATCTCCATCTCCTGGATTCAAGCAATTCTCCTGCCTTGGCCTCCTGATTAGCTGGGATTACAGGTGTGTGCCACCACATCTGGCTAATTTTTGTATTGTTGGTAGAGACAGGGTTTTGTCATGTTGGTCAGGCTGGTCTTGAACTCCTGGCCTCAAGTGATCCTCCTGCTTTGGCCTCCCAAAGTGCTGGGATTACAGGCGTGAGCCACCACACCCAGCCTACAACCAACTCCCTTCTAAATAAAAGCATTCAGTCTGAGTACAGCTATGAGTATCCTGATTACAGAAACTTCAGGCAAAGCTTCAGGCATAGTTCACGTATTGTTTCATTTAATTCGTATAACAGTGTTATAAGGTACATACCCCTTTTACCCCATTTTACAGATGAGGAAAAAGTGTAGTGCAGAAAATTCCAAGGTCACTGAGATAGGGTTGACTAACTGCAAGGCCCACAGTCTTAACGTTGAATGGAATATAGCCTCACTGTCTGACATTATTTTCACTCTAGTTATTTCGTATTCTATTTTATGTGAGATTTCAATTTGTTTTCATTTTTCTCTAAATGAGATGCAAAGTGAATTACAGGAACACAGCTATTTCACATCCCCATTGTCTGCAATTCCAGCAACACAACAGACTAAATTTCTGTGAAATCTGAGCTCTTAGTGCATTGTATCTGTGAAACATGTAACCATTTTCCTAGTAAAACAAACCAGGTGAGGGGAAACATATTTCTTCTCTTCTGGTTTTTAGTCAAGTTGCCTAAAAATAACTTTGCTTATGCCAAGTAGAAAGATGTTTTCTAGAAATTATCATTTCAATATGTTCACAAAAACTTTAGAATATCAGTCAAAAAGCCTTAGTTTGACACTGGAAAATAGAATTCATCACAGAGTCAGAAAGAAGTTATTTTCATGTCTTAAACAAATGCAGTAATTCATTTATTCTTTTTTTGTTTGTTTTTTTGAGAGAGGATCTCACTTGCTCACCTATGCTGAAGCGACCAAGTGAGACTATAGCCTCGACCTCCTGGGCTCAGCTCATCCTCCAACCTCAGGCTCCCAAGTAGCTGGGACTACAGGCACACACTACCATACCCAGCTAGTTTTTTTGTATTTTTTGTAGAGATGAGGTTTTGCCATGTTTCCCAGGCCTGTCTTGATCTCCTGGGCTCAAGGGATTCTCCTGCCTCAGCCCTCAAAGTGCTGGGGTTACAGGTATGAGCCACCACGCCAGGATGATTTGTTCTTTAGTTACTAAATCTCCATAATTTTTGCTTTATTTTATTAATAATAAATGCTTTTGTTGAACACTAACATAGCTGAACTTTACAAATGTGCCTTCAGTACATAATTTTTAACAATTCTTCATCAATAACTATGAAATAAATACTAATGCTACCCTTGTTTGACAAATGATGAGAAAAATGATGGGCAAGGAAATAATGGCCTTGCCCAGTGACACCCAGTTTCTAAGTGGCAGACTTGGGATTTGAACCCAGGTCTGCCTAAGCCCAAAGCCTACACTTTTTTCTACCACTCACTGCTCCTGTGTTACTCTGAAAGAACTGACAAAAAGTATTAAGCATACAAGAACCAGTGGTCAAATAGAGTAGAAACCTATTACAAATAGCATTGGGATTCAGATACAATTGTTGAGATGAAGGGTTTCTATGTTAGAATGTAAAAATGTACATACTTGGCCACAGCAAAACCAGCAATATGGAATCAGTTCTGTTATACCAAGAGTTTTAAGGTACTCTTCCACTGTATTTTAAAAAGTGAAGGAACACTGTAATATGTAGACTTCCCCAGTCACAGATGTACATCAGGCTGTTATTCACCTGTCTATTTTTTATTTGTAAAAACTAATTTTCTGTCAGATGAAGTATATACAGCCATAGATCTCCTTAATGGTAGAGTTAGGGCTGGAAGGTTAGTGTTCAGGTGCCAAGGATGGTGATTTTTGCAGCATGCACGTACTTTCTTTTAAAAGTATTTTAGACCTGGCACATAATGATTTTGAGTCAGTGTGTGCCTAATATCATGCTCACCATTTTAAAAAAATATTGGAAACTAACAACAGTTTTAGAAGCACACCTCACAGAAGTCTCAATCTATTGCGGTTTCTGCTAGGGCAGTCCTTGATTTTTTTTTGTAAAGTAATTCTCTCAGAGTCTATGGTTATTAAATTCTGGGGGTAATAAACATATAAATATTTATGGAAGTGAAGAATAGCTTAGATTAGTTTTCTCAGACACAGACTTCAATGTCGTTTTTTCCCAACTCATCTCACATCATTTCATTTGAATTTAATACCATTGACACGTGATGATTGCATACAAACTCAAGAGTCACCCTGAGGGTGACCATACTAGATTTCTTTTGGGAGAAAGGCCAGTGCAATTAACTTCATAGGTAAAAATTTCTTCATGAAATCCAGCTGTGACATATATACTTCAGATGGAATGTATATACAATGAGAGAGCTCTTTTAGAGGAGAACAAAGTAAAGGGGTTTGGTAAAACTTATCATGAAACTAGATTAGATCTAGACCCCAGAAACACTGGGCTGAAGAAAGTAATGTGAATATCAATAATCTAAATAGGTCTTTTAGAGTCAGGAAAAATAAAAATTAACTAGTAACCACTTATTAATGGTTTATGCTTTTCCAACTTGCAAAACTACTTTAAGTGAGCTTTTCTGCTTCACTATTTATGCATGTGTGAAATCCATAAATCCAGTTTAATCCAGTAAAACACACTTCTGACTCCTCATTCACAATAAGCACAAAGATCTTTCATGCATGTACAAATAATATGGAGCCTACAGAAGCACAGCTTTGTGAATTGCGATTATGACACAACTTTGAAAAAACTGCAGAGTATTCGCAATAGAATGTGAAATACACTTTGTATAAAGAATGAGCTCGAGGGTGGATCAGGAGCTGTTCCCAGTGGACAGTGGTGTGTTTAGAAGTCATTTAATTAATTAGTAATTAATTAACTAATTAATTACTATTAATATAGTTGCTTGTTTATAAACTACCTGCTCAGGCATATGATGCTCCATATAACCGACCTTCAGTGACACTGAGAATATTTCGGATTTGGCAGCTAACTCATTCTTCCTGCTCAATTCTGTGTATTTTTCTTAAGATACTCAGAGAAATAGTGAAGGAAGTATCCCCTGAGTGTTCCACAACTCTGAGCAGTTGTAGGAAAGTAGCTAGCCCTCCCTCTGCGGTCTGTATATCCTTGGTGTTGGGCTCATGGATATGACGGAATTCATTTCTATGCAGAAAGAGAGGATGAGTCATAGGGGTCAGGGTCCTGATGTCCTCCACACTGCATTCCTGTATAATGGCAAAGACTGAAATGGGTTAATGATCTGCAACTAGTAACTAGCTATTTTAATTTTTATTGGCAAGAAAGGCAATAATCAAATGACTCCTATGGGGAAGAATTATAATGATGTTAGCAATAAGCCTTCCAGTGAATTATACTAATTAATTTCTGTAGGTCAGCATTATCCATCACCTCCATCATAAAAGGCAGGGAAGCCTCAAATGGAGAAGCAAAGTTGCATTTCAAAAGCTTTTGAGTAGGCATCCAGGGATTGGAATTTGTAGCTTTGCATTCCAAATGGGATGTTGAATTTAGAGAATTAGGACAATGCCCAAGGAGTTTACTCTCTTCCTTCTCTATAGGGGTCAGGCACAGGGGAGATGAGGCGCAAGTACTTGGAGGACCCAATAGGGATGTTGTTAGTGCTGTCCTGGCAGTACTTGAGCTGCAAATAAACAAACTTCACTCCAGAAGACTCTCTAGTGTGCAACTTTGAAGGCATGAAATTCACACACACAATGGTGGTTCAATAGGCTACTGCCCAGTAGGACCACTCTTTAAAAATTAAAATAAGATTGAGTTTTCTATAAGAGGAAGCAGCTCTGCCCTAGAAATTGGCTCTATTCAGCTTTCTGAATAAGAGCTAATGCAAGTCTCTTGTGAATATATTTTTTTACAGTGTTGTCTTATGTTAGTGTAAATGGGCAAAACAAACAAATGAAAAAAACCCAAAAAACAGAAGAAAGCAAAAAGCTCAGATTGCATAGGAGAGAAAATGTGGGAGTTTCTTCTTTTTGTTATATGTGTCTTTATTTTTATTGTATATATTTAAGGTGTACAACATCATGTTTTGATATACATAGTGAAATACTACAGTAAAGCCAATTAACAAATCCATCATCTCACAGTTATCCACCACCCCCCCCCTTTTTTTGTGGTGAGTCACCTAAATTTCCAGTATATAACACAATATGATTAACTATAGTCCTTATGCTATACACTAGATCACTAGACTTATTCATCCTATGTAACTGCAACTTTATGTCCTTTGACCTACATTTCCCCATGACTTTACATTTCTCCCCTGTCAGCCTCCCGCAAACTCTCCCTCCTGTCTTTGGTAACCACCATTTTACATTGTTTTTTTTTGCATATCAACTTTTGCCAATATTCTGCATGTAAGTGAGTTCATACAGTATTTGTCTTTCTGTGCCTGGATTATTTCAGTTAGTGTAACATTCTCCAGGTTCATCTCTGTTGTGGCAAATGCCAAGATCTCTTTCTTTGTTAAGGCTGAATAATATTTCATTGTATATGTAC